CTTCACCCCGTTTCTCCCCGTTTCTCCATCGGTAATCTTGGTGAATGAAAATAGATTAGAAAAAGTTGAAATGAGTGTGTAAGGTTTTGTAGGCATCAAACTATGAGCTTTGCTTAGTACTGTAAAAATAATAAATATTACCAACTCAGGCATTCTTACTGAGTGGRTTGACCAGACTTTTTTCTCACATATTTTCACATAAGTTGAATTTGTAGCTCAAAATCTGATTTTGGTTATTAAACTTCTTTTTGAATCGGAAAATATTACAAATAGATTTTAAAAGGTCGGTTGACAGCTGAAACGATTCCTTCGCATATGTATGCTATCACGTAAAAAGGACAAAGACAGAACGAAGGGATTCTCATACTAATAAATACTTGATTTTTTTTTTTTTTTTTTAGGACCTTGTGTATCCAGACGATTCAACCACACTAGATGCAAAGGGAAGCCATGATGATCAGAAAATTGTCAAATATCACTGGGATCAAGAGAGGTATATATCAAAACAACATACCCAATAACTGTACTTAGAATCTGGYGTGAAATGTGATCGTCCGGGTTGGTGTAGTCTTGAGAAAGACTGTTGGTGGTGGCGACTGACGTTTCGACAACCTGASCAGAAGTCATCTTCAGAGTCCAGTGAGAAAACGAGACACAGTCGATGGTATTCATACCTCTGGTCCTGTACTTAGACACAACACTATTATTCAATTGGTGTTTATTGGAAACTACTCTGCAGCAGGCACATTATTTTCGGATTGGGGGTCAAATTGTTTTATTCATTAGGGCAACTTTACCCCTGGGTTTCCGAGGAAGATAAATGATTGGATGTACTTGCTTTGTGAGGGCATGCGCACACACTCCTTAGATCATTTAATGATTTTTTAAATGTTTTCTACAGTGGTCCTTCATCTGCTGAGATTTCTGGTGCCGATGGAAAAATAGCAACAGTAAAGAAATTACAAGAAGGCCGTTATGTGTTTAAACTGACGGTAACAGATGACAAAGGACTTACTGGGACTGATATTGTKGCTGTTAATGTAAAGAAAGGTGAGTTGAAGAACCCCATCCCCTAGATCAGGATTAATCCTGGGCACCACTACCCTTTCCATTGTTTCCAAGGTYAACCGGGCAAAGCTGCATATGTTYTTASTATCATTTTATTTACTWTTAACCAGATATCAATCAAAGCCCTGTGGCAAAGGCTGGACCAGACGTAGTTGTTCATTTACCGAATCGCGCTGCTGAACTAGACGGTTCAAAGTCCAGTGACGATCATGGYATTGTAAATTATATTTGGTACAGGGACCCAAAGAGTCCTGCAGCTGGGGTAAGTATCCATTCCTGTTTTCATGACTTCTTAATGGGTAAAATGACTTAGTACTGGGTAACTGAATATAGGGTTTRAAATTTTTCGCGCCAAACGCCACCTTCTTTCTGTTCTCATCCAATTCTCAAATTTCATCGTATAATCAAAAACTTYAGCATATCCTTTACATCCATTTTCATAATAAAGCTACCCAGACAACAAGCTATACTTTTTTGATTGACGGGCTCCAAAATACCCAGACTTTTTGGGTTGAGTTGGTTGCATCAGAAATTTAAAAAATGGGTGTAATTGAATTCTCTTGGACCCTAACATGCTACAATTAACTACAGTGTTGATCCTCTCACTACACTTACACCGGCTCTACTTCCAAATGACTTTGACTACCCCTACTTGTGTAAGCATCTCACCAYCAGATAATTCTTTGGATCTGGAACTTCTTGCGATTGGGTTAGTTATGGTTTCATTTCTTCGACAGGACGTTATTAACAAGAGTAATCACCAAGCAGTATTAAGACTCTCCAACCTTGTAGAAGGCTTGTATAAGTTCAAGTTAACTGTCGTTGATGGAAAAGGACTCAAGTCTAGCGACGAAGCACTTCTCACTGTTAAGGAAGGTAAATTTCAAGTTCTAGGACTTCCTCTATGTGTACCATGAATACGCATGAGCTGATAATGACGTAATATTTCAATGCGCCTCGGACTGGAACTAATTGCAAGGACTTGAAATCCCGTCCAGTCCGATTTGGAGGMTTGAAATGACTTCTCATACTCATTAATTATTCGGGAGGTTATTTGTTTAGGATTGAAAGACTTAAGGCACAGATATGCCCCTGAACTGAATTAATTTTGATCCAGTCCAAGGACTTGAACAAAATTAATTCAGTCCTTTCACAGGACTTTGCCAGGTTTCAAGTAACATCATRTGACCCAAAAAATAGCCCATTGATTGGCTGGTTTCATGAATTATTAATGAGTATTARAATAATAGCTATTAGTTGGGACTGCGTTGCTGTGTTGAATACGAGTGAATAATAAGGATACTTAAACACAGTGTAAAAAAGACGTAACTGTGCTGACCTTTTTGGAGGATGGTCCTCATTTTGAATTAATTCTAAAGGAAATAACGTTTGCGTGAGAAACATTCATGCTATTCATGCTAACGAACTTCTTTACACAGTGATTAAATTTCCTTTTGGAGACCTTTAGCATCAGGTTTACCGCTAACAAGTAACTGCTAGGGATCAGGGCCAGAAACACGCTTGCAAACACGGAGAAACAATCAACATCACTATGAAATTCAATATTGCGGCTCTTCCAGCGACAACTTAGTTATGACGCCATCATTTTTTTATTTTTTTATTTATTTTTAATGACGCCTTCATAAATGTTCAAAATTTATCGGACGGAAAACGCCTGGCGTCGAACTGCAGTTTGAGGTTTTTTTCGGTACCTAGCAAGAACGTCGTGCTAAAGGTCTCTATAAACTCGTATCAATACACATGCTCCTCTTGCACAATAGTGTCTAGTAACTCTTTTGAAACGTATATTGTTTTTATTGATACATCTTTCATTTGTATTTTTAAGATGAGAACAGCGCGCACTTGGTGGAACTTTATCTTGATGTTGACATTACAAAATTTACTGAAGAAAATAAGGTAAAATCAATGTCMAAAGTGCTTCAAGTATATAGTAGTTGATGGGCAAAAGATTTTTCACTATAACATTTTCCGCCGTATTGCTTATACAAAGATTGGTCGAAGAAAGCGCGTTCAAACATATTGCGCGCTTCTTTAYTGCATTAGCTTGCAGCCCCTTTAATAAGGGAGGCGCACTCGCGTACGCACGTAAAAACCAATCAAAACGCGCATTATATTACAAAGCCCGTAATTTTGCTTGACCTCGTGGCATTATCGTTATCAWTTGTATTTAACTGATTTCCTTTTGTGGATCTTCTGTATGTTAGGGTCAGTTAATTCGTAAACTAGCTGTCATCCTTGACGTACAAGATGATGATATTGTGGTGGAACACTTGAAAGAAGCAGGCACCGGACACAGGTAGGCTCTGAGTAATGGAATTAGCACTTGCGCGTACAAAGCCCGGCAGAACAGACAAAGAATTGGCCGCGCGCTAAGACAACAATGCATCCAAGAATACGATACAGTCAAGTTATGATGAAGGCGAAGTCTATGCGATGTGAGGTTCTACCCTGCAAAGTTGCGCGTGGCGTTAGAAAGTRTAAACATCGTATTCAAAGTCGCTTCGGGACTGTGGTTGAAGGTCTGAAAGGTACAGCAACAGGAAGTTGAAGAATGCACGGTTTGAGCAACACAGACAGTGAGCTGGCCATCTCTTAAAACACAAGTAGTTCCTTAAACTGTGCACAGTTCCTCTTTTCAATTTTCCTCCTAACTCTCACTTGAGTCAAGTTTTTTCCTGAACTTGGTCGCGCAGGGAGTAGGGGTCATTGAAGCAGCAACTCTTCCCACGCGCGATCGAGACAGGAAAAACCCGGCTCCACAGAGCTAGGAAGGAAAGGATGGACTGTTTCAGTAGTAGYTCCTTGATGATTCTTACCTATGGTCTTTTTTTTTCTTCCACAGTACGATGGTCATGTTTTACGTTAAGACAGCAGGCGATGCTAAAGATGGTCAAATCGTAGCAGAAATGTTAAAGTCAAAAATTGAAAACGAGGAAGGATTTTTTGAGTTCCGAATGCTGAGAGTTGAACCCTACAGTACGTTGAAATATTCTCCATCAGTACTTAATTTCACACTTTTTACTGAATCCTGAAGTTTTTGACCCTTCACTTTTCTCACTTGGCCCAATTTGATTATTTTTCCCCCATTTGTCGAAGTAATTGTTCGTTAAATCATATTTTTGTTGTCTTTTTCCTTGCCTTTTCACCTCGTGAAACCTTGAACCCCATTGATGTTGACTAGACTTATTTTGACCGACTCTTTTTTCCCTACAGTTTGTCGAAATAATTGTTCATTCCATGGATATTGTGATCGACGTACTAAACTGTGTGTTTGTGAAAGCTTCTGGATGCAAAACATATTCAAGTCCAGCTTTGGCGTAAAAGAAAGCAACTGTGGTATGYATTGTGCAAAAGCACATAAGAGAATGCTTTTGCTAATCCGCATAATGTGAATTCATCTGCGTGTAACAATAGTAAGCTTCAGATCGGAAACGTCGGAGTACGAGATTACAAGTTTTTAAGTGCTTATCACATTTGCGTCCCAAACCACTTTATTAGCACCTTTCTTTGTTTGCACATGCTGCCATCTTGGTTGAACTTAACAATGTCTTTTGTCAATGAATTCTTTTGTTATATTATCCAACTTGGCCACCGTGTCTTTCGTTGTTTCAATCCCCCCCCTTCCCTTTTTCCCCCTGGAAGGATTGAAAACCAGCAATTCCGTACATGAGACTTTTTAGGACCAAATGTTTTGTATATCCGTTGATTTCCTACTTTTCATTCCTCAGACTGGAGTATTTTATATGTTACTGTAATTATATTTGGTATCGTCATGGGTATCGGTGGTATAATATGGGCTGTCTGCTTCTGCATGGGAAGGTAAGAAGTCTAAAGTATATTGTTATACTCTTCATGTAAACTCATCAGTTGGAACTCTTTGCCATCTTCATTCGATATTCCTAAACTTGCTACTTTTTCTTCTTCGATACGCGTCTTTTAATATATACTTTTAACATTGAGTTATTTCTAACTGAATACTTAACGGGTTGAGGATATTTGGCTAAGCTATAAAAAATGCAGTCTTGGAAAAAGCATACCAAAGTCTTGCTACTGAAAATGAGCATATCGATATATAAAACAAACAAATAAAAAATAAGAATACCAAAAATAAAGTAATATACTTCATGAAAATATTTTTTCAATGCACAACACATGGCCACTAGCCTGCCACATTACGAAGAAAATTCCGGATGTGACGCAGGCTACTGGCCACCGCAATACTAAAAAAGACGTTTTCAGTCTTCAGAGTCATTTCTCCGCAGGCTGTAATCAAACGTTTTCAAAGCTTTAGTTATGATCATGCTGTACCACTTTCTCCTCTTACCTTTCCCTCCCTCTTCCTACTACTCTTTCTTTTCTTCTTCTTCCTTGTTCTATTTCACTCTAGAGCCTCTCGTCGTCGTCGTCTTCGCGATGACAAAGTAGTTTCAGTGGAACCACCACTTTTATCTGACTCGACTGCAGCTGAATCTTCCGGGTATGGTAGACACGGGGGTCGATAGCRATCATGAAAATAAATGATTTTAAGGGTTACTATGCTTTTTGCTGTAAGATATTTTTATTTTGATCTTGGTTGATCTAAGTGTTCTTACTTGGTCATTCATCTATTTAGTTATTGCTCACATGTCCTTGTGGAATTACTCATTAATCGTCTTTAATTATCATTATCAATGATCATGTAGCAGTTCATGGTAAAAAMTTTTTGGATTGCTTGCAGTGATTCTCACAATTAATGTCGATTGTCATTCATTTTTCTGAATAGTTTGCCCATTCCTCTCATTTTCATTGATTTTACTAAAGCATTTACACTAAAAAGTGGGCAGTAATGTTCACTTCAAGGTTCTTGGATCGTTATTTTGATTGATGCCTTGCAAGTGTCACATTGTCATACTCTGTCATCTACCACAAGGATACAATTATTCAAAAAGTATGAACAAATCTCATGTGCAMCACTAAAAATCATTATAGACGGCGCGTCAGATCACGAAGAAGACATCGATATGCAATAATAGATGAAGAAGATGAAGATGACAAAGCAGAAAGAATGGAAATGTTACCGAAGGGTGAGTAATGGCTCGGGTTTCGTATTCCTTTCATTTCTTTTTCTAGTTTCTTAATTCGTCGAGCAGCGAGGGTTTTTGACCACCATTACATCAAGCCAACTAGTATCATCACTATCATCAACAATAGTAGCAGCAACAACAACAGCAACAAGAGCAACAATTGAAACAGCAGCAATTACAGCAGCCAGAACACCAACAACAAGAGCAGAAGCAACAACAACAGCAGCAGCAGCAGCAGCAGCAATAAAAACAACATGATATCGAGTCTGGTTTTAAAATGTTGCTTTTGTTGGTTATGATGGTGTTACTAGCTTGCGGCTTCATGTTTAATACTATCTAAAATTTTGAACAGTTAGCGCACTCAGTAACATTTGATCTATCATTTTTGCCTAGGCAATTATTCAAGTATGATGTTAACAGACAGTGATGAAGACAGCGATGAAACAACRCTATTTGAAGCAAAGAAACGAATTCCAAATGGAACGCTAAATGGATCAATAGGAAGAAAAGCAATGTGATTCTTGGGATCATTCAATCCCTCTTTCTTGAATACTATACATGGATCTTCCCATCTGTCGATCTATCACTCATTCTTTATGTATTTATATAGATAGATGCTAGAAAGAATACTAGGGTAGATCGAAATGGAATTTTTCCTTTAAGGTGTGCCTCAAGCACAGTTCCTGGTCCCTTTTGAACCCTTAATTTGAATAAGGCTTCGGTGGCCCGAGAATTAAAACAAATGCTAATTGTTAAAGTTTTATGAGAAATTGCTAAATACCGGGGTAACATTTTTATACATAATAGTAAAATAAATCCATTATATACCTTATTTRTAAAACAAACAATTTATCTCCGAACTTCATTTCAGTTAAGTCTATGCACTTCTTCAGTTACCTTTTTATCATTAACATTTCCTCAGTGTTTATGAAAATGAATTGGATATCTGTCATGTGATTTCTCTAATTCCTGCATATGTATTTAYTGCTTGCTTAAAATAATTATAAAATTAATGTACAAATTATCACATAATTTGGATTTTACACTGAGCCATTCCATCTTGCACGTTACGTCGGTAACATCGTTCACCACTTCTTTTTTCAAAATCCCCTGTCCCTTTTGGTTAATCATATTACCTTAACATTCGTTTTCATTAGAGTGCATACCATATTTCCATTAAAAAAGTTAACTAACAAAATTTTATAATTTAGTGTAAATGTTTTGTAGGTTTACGGAACTTTAACGAACATACTATTTTGTGCAACTTCTTACAAAATTTTTCACCGATACATGGTATGTACRCTACCACTCATGACTGAAATAGGACAATTTGCTGAAATAGTTATTGGAAAGTAATTGATTGACTTCAACCAAATGCTAATTTGCAGTCACTTGATTGTTATTGAAAACGAATGTAATTTTCAGCCAATTCATRCTTGCGTTATACATTTCATATATTTAATTTCATCACTCAGTWAGGGAGACCACATGACAGTGGATCGTAATTTGTATATTCCCGCCAATAATATATAACTTCAGATTTTTTAAAAGAAATTTTGGGAAAACAATCTTGAACAAGCGACCTAGACGGTATAAAATTAAAAACAAAATATGACCCGCTTTTAAAAACCCATAAAGATGAGTAACAATTTGATATCGATACCTATATGCAAACAATATAAACATCTAACGAATGTTAAGATTGTAATGTTAAGCTAACCTATTTGACGTAACGTAATTGATTTAGTATGAGGACACGCTAACCCTTTCCACTTGTTAACCAATCGCGATGCAGAGTAAAAGCTGGAGCCAATAAGGAGAGAGAGAGGAATGCCAAAATCTTGGCTTCGTTGCTTGCTCCTGGTAGGCTTAAGTTGGAATGCTGTGTTTTTATTCAATATTATGATTGATTAACTTGCTAAAAGTGTTCCCAGTTGCAGTTTCTAAAAATTAAGGTGGTGATGAAAGTCTTTTATATAGCCCTAGATTTTTATATTAGCTTGAGTACRAGATGGCAGTACTTGCTTATTTGCGGTTTTGGGCAGAAACCAAGGTCCAGAGCACGCATTTTTTGTTTCAGTTTGTCAGCTTAGATCTTCCCTTAGTGAGCTAGTCTATGAAGAAAGTAGTTAACGTGGAGTTTATAGTAAATACCAATAAAAAAAGCAAGTGCTATACTAATGTCTACGATTCAAGGGCATTGTAGGGTTGCTTCAACCTGAACTGTATAACAAAAGCTTAGAGACTGCTCTGATTAAAACGATTTGGAAGGTATTCCTGCACAGGGGGCGGAATAAATCAGTTATGAGCCTGAACAATTTTTCAAACCTTTTTTGGTCCATCATTCGAAGCGCACTCGAAAGTCACATGATCACTTTCATCATTTTAGATGCATATGTCACCTGATAATCCGTTCAACCGTTTTTATGTTATGTGAATTTGATATCGAAAAACC